AAAAAAAAAAACAGCATTAAAGAGAAACTGTCACTGATCTCCTTTTAAATTTCCTGCAAAACAGCGATCCAAACATGATCTCCCTGTTTTTTAAGCAAAAATTTAGAATCTCCATCTTCTTAGAAGGTATGCTCCACAACATTATAGCAAAACCACAGTCTCCATATTTATTATACTACCTTTAATTTTTTTATTTCTTGTAGCATTTCTTGCCATGTTTGGCGGCCATGCTTTTATTTTTGTAGACGTGTAGTTGCAAAAAATCCTGTACTTTTTACTGGGATTTTAACAAGTATCTTTTTAAAGAAAAATGAAAATATTTTTTTTATTTTGTACTTTTTATGTCTTTAGTGTCATTTATCTATCGTCACTATAACCTGTTTGTAATGAGATCGAGGATGGGTAAGTGTACAAAGTTTCAGCTCAACTGGAGATGAGGAAGTGGGTCGAAATTGATTGAGATGCAAGATTTGATGCCCAGAAGTCATCCAGGGTCAGTGGAGGTCACTGGAGGTCTACTGTTCATGAAAGGTTGTATTGTAATCAGGGGTGGGTAAGTCATAAGTGTACAAAGTTTCAGCTTAATAGGACACCTGGAAGTGGGTCAAGATTGAGACGCATGATTTGACTGCAGTGGTCACTCAAGTGTCAGTGGAGATCACTGCTGAACGATCATGTAGGGTTGTATTGTCACAGGGATTGAAAAACCATGCAAAATTTTAAGTCCATCTGAAGGAGGGAACAGGTTGAAAATTGATATTACAAGATTGAATGAGACAAATCTTGTGCGTAGATACTGATCTTCCATCAAACACCTTTCGAGGTGCCGGATAGGGGAAAGCTCACCAGATATTATGGGTAATGGGTACATAAAATGCCCAGGGTGGACCAAAATCAGAACCTACTGCCTTGTAGGAAGTGGAGAAACCTTCAAAGGCTAGGAAAATTATCCAAATATTAAAGCAGCAACCAAGAGAGCTGTAAGGGGCAGCCCCCCCCCCCTCCCCCCAGATGATTGTGTACAGGGCTAACAACCCTGCCATGTAAAAATATAAACATTACGAAAGCCTAACAACAGAATAAAACCCGGACTGATTCTAATGGAAATCGATCTATGCCTGGATATGGACAAGATTTTTGGATTGCAACTTGGAATGCACTAAGCCTGTTTAGCCAACCTAATAAATCAACTAATTAAATATGAAATCTCTATTGATGCATTGTAGGAAATTCGATGTGCAGTCATAGTTTTTAAACCAGAGAATGAAAGATTGCGCTTTTTGCATCTGCCAGGAAAAATGTTAAATATAATATTTATAAATGTTCATGCTCCCCCCCAAGATACAGAAGGTCAGATAAAAGAATCCTTTTATGAGATACTGGAAAATATCTATGATGATGCACCACGACATCATATTAAAATAGTTATTGGGAACTAATGAAAAAATAGGGAGAGAAAAAGTGTTTATGTGAACTATTGGCAAGGAAAGTCTGCATGAAAAATCCAATGACAATGGGATCCGACTCATAGGCTTTGCTTCAGGAAAAGGGATGATAGTTAGCAGCACCAAGTTTCCACACAATTCAGTTACTTGGAACTCACCAGAAAAATCGCTCACAACCAAATTGACCATGTTCTGATCAATTCGAGGCATGGATCAGATATTCTAGATGTAAGAAGCTATCAAAGAGCAGATGGAGACTAACCAACGACTTTTAAATATAAACAGAGAATAAGCATAATTCACAATGGCCGAAATCAAAGAAAAAAACAATATGATTAGCAAAAACTTACCAAAGACCCACTAACTGCAAAAGCTTACCAGAATGAAGTAGAAGAGGAAATAAACAAGATAAATGTTCAGTGGGATAGGATAAAAATTGTTATGAAAAGATCAGCAGATAATGTAGTAGGATTCCAGAAAACTAACACTAGAGTAGGCTGGTTTGATAATGAATGTAGAGAGACTGTCCAAGAAAAGAACAAAGCCCGAATGACCATGATACAAATGGAAAACAGAAAGACAAGACCAACTTACAAGAAAGCCATAAAGAAAGACACAAAAATGTGTAGGAAGAAAAAAAGGGGGTGGGAAAAAGCTAAATTAAAAGAACTTATCAAGAAAGGGAAATATCAGAGGAATGTACATGAAGATAAAAGAATGGGTGCCATGCCAGACCTCACATGTGTGAAAGCAGACCTGTTTACTCTTACAATTTTGGTGTACAATGTACAATTTTGAGGTGTATTCATTTTATATACTGTATGTTTATTTTTTACTATTAAGATAATGTATTGAATGCTTTTGTGATATTGCACAATTTTAAGAGTTTGAGGGTAAACAGGTCTGTGAAAGCCATGATGGAGAATTAATTATCGAAAATAGTTAAGTACTGAAGAGGTTGTCTGAATATTTTGAGGGAATACTAAATGCAGACAATAGACAATATAAAGATTATCCACCACCACATGGAGGACCAGACCCTTTAATAAACTCCCCAACTTTGGAAGAAACTACAGAAGTAATCAATTCTACAGAAAACAACAAAGCCTCTGGAGAAGACCTCATCATAGCAGAACTTATTAGATAAGGAGGAAGAGAACTACACACTCAGACATATAACTTTTAACAACAATTTGGCAAGAAGAGAAAATTACAACAGCAATAATAATCCCAACACATAAGAAAGGCTCCAAACTTCATTGCAAAAACTAATGAGTAAATTCCTTATTAAATGTTACATACAAAATACAGACAAAAATAAATGCCAAAAGACTTCAAACATACACTGAACGAATGCTAGGTGATTACCAATATGGATTCTGGCAAAACAGATCAACGACTGATCAGATTTTCACCATCAAATGCCTATTAGAGAAATGTTGCGAATATAATATCCCAGTAGATCAACTCTATGTAGACTATAAAATGACCTATGACAGCATCAAAAGAAAATACCTCTGCAGGAGTTTGGAATGCCCAACAAACTGACAAGACTAATGCATGTAAAATTAAACAATTCAAAAAACAAAATCAAGGTTCAGGGAGAATATTCAAGGGAATTTCAGATTAGACGAGGCCTAAGACAGGGAAACTCACTATCTTGTATGCTTTTTAACCTAACATTAGAGAGAGCTATAAGAAACATACATAAGGAAACCCAAGGAACAATAACAGTACAGGAGACCCAAGACCCATAAACAATAGGACAATCAACAATCAACCCCTTCAGTATCTTGCATATGCAGACATAACACTGTTAGAGAAAAGTAGTAAAGACATATCAAAAGCCTTTAATGAATTAGAAGATTCATCACTACAAGTGGGGCTGGAAGTTAACAAAACAAAATACATGACTATGATAAGAGAAGAGCAGACAGATGAAACCCTTAAAATTAGAAACCACATTTTGTAAAAAGTAAATCAATTCAAATACTTAGTATCCTTATTAAATCAAAGAAATGAATTACTAACAGAAGTAAAAGTAAGAATATTGGCGGGAAGCAGTGCATATTTCAGTAGTCAGAACATACTCAAAATTAAAAATATTACAAGAAAAGAAAAAAACGAAAACTATATATAAAACTGTAATCAGACCAGTTGTAACATAAATAAGTGAAACTTGGACCCTAACAAAAATGGCATAAAACCTATTAAACACATGGGAGAGATTAAGTTCTCCAGAAAATATATGGACCAACAAAGGATGAAAATGGATGACGAAAACGAGCCAACCAGGAATTGTATAGTCTATGTCAGGATCCCTTGCTAGTATCAGAAATAAAAAGGGGAAGGCCACGCTGGGCAGGACACTTAGAAAGAATGCCAAATGACAGAGGAGTGAAGAGGGTGCACCACCAAAACCCCAGAGGAAAACGACTCAGAGGCGGACATAGGCTTAAAGATGGATGGATGATGTGGAAAAAGGTCTACAGCAGCTGGGAATCCAAGCATGGAAAAGAAAAGCATTAGTTAGGTCTGAGTTGAAGGATGTGGTGAGGCAGGCCAAAGCCCTACACAGGCTGTAGCACCACAAGAATGGATGGAATCAAACAAACAGACAAAATGGACAGCTAAATAAAAGTGTATAACAAAAAGCAAAATAATTTATCAGGTGACAGATGGTGATGGGGGGGCGGCCTTAGTATCTTTTTCCCTACATTAGAAGATGCACTAATGATAACCTGCATACTTACTAAATTATTCATGAAAAGTACTCGAAACACTTACACACTGGAAGAGTCACTACTAATACTGCCTATACTGCCATCTGTAGAGTCCTTGCTTGCCTGTTTTGACATTCCTCCCCTCAGATCCACTGGGCCTATTTCTTCACTGCGCTGGAAAGAGCTGCGTTTTTTACCTCCCCCTGAACAGAGAAAATAGTGAGGTAGCGAGATATTCTTTAAAAGAACAAAAAATGATAGAATTCTAAAAATAGGACGGGGATCCTAAGGATGAAAGAGGGAGAAGCAGACACTAATTTTGACAAAGGTCAAGTGACCATTAAAACTTTTGAAAGGATAAAAATAGCCTCAGCAATCAAGGCCATTTCAGTTTCAGCTCAATAAATTTATTTTATTTGCTTCCAATCATTTCTGTATTGTAGCACATGCTACATACTCACATAGTGTATATGGAGCAAAACTTATGTATAAAACGGTGTGACAGGATGTCAACAAATGCTATTCATAATTTTAAAAAAAATTTTTTTTTACAGAGGAACTTTTTTCTTGTTAGCTTGATAAAAATTAAAAATAAATAGTCTCCTTCTCCCTCCTTTGCCAAAGCCTACCCACAATGCAAAACACGGTTACACCCATATTCCTCACCCGCTAACTGGGAAGCACTGCTGCTACGTCTGTTCAACCCTACAAGTGCTGCCATTTTGTGACCTATACTTGGTCGACGTTTCCTACCCTCAGTGACACTGGCGGTGACTGCCGAATCAGAGACACTGCCATCATTTTGGTCAAATCCCTGGCTGTCATTGCTGGAACTTCTGCTCACTGCCTGCTGTCTGCGCTGAGGTATAGTGGTTCTGCTCTCCATTTTGGATGCAAATTCACTAAAGCAGAAAATAAAACAGGTAATTTAATAATATTATTATAAAATTATGTTTTTAATGGAAGGTTGTTGTTTTTTCAGTCTTTTAAAAAAAAAAAGTTATTTGAAATGTAACTTGATGAATTTGATACTGATCTGCAACAGAAAAAAAGATGAAATTAATTAAATTTAATTATTTTCTCATTTAATATATGTGAAGCATCAGAAAGTTGGTTACTTAATGATTGTCATATAATCAATGTATCCATTCCACTGATATGATTGTATGAGAATTGCCAAAGAAATAAAATTCTAACCTGAGTTTCCGTCTCGGCCGCTCTGACTGGGTCGACCTGACGCTGATGGTGCTAACCTTACTGACCTCTGACATATCGCTTGTTTCAGATACATCACTAGCAACATCATCTGACATGTCAGGGCTGAATTCTGATAAAAAAATTTTTATCTTATTGTTTTAAATTGCTCAAAATTTCAATCCAACATAGACCATAGTATGTGAGTTAAAATATGTAACAGCTTATAAATCCAACAAGAAAAATAAAATTGTGTTTTTTTAACTTTCTAAAATTTTAGGCATGGAACAAATTAAAAACTTTTTATTTTTAAAAGAAGCTCTTAGATTCCAACAAAACTTTACAACTAGTTATTTCCTTTAACCTTTGTGTCTTCTGGATGATCTATGATGGCCTCTCTCAGGATCCCTCCCTCTTTCATAATTTCTTTCCATGGCCCGTTCCCTCATCCTTTCCACTCTGTCGTGTGATATACTTCTGTCATGTAATCTTTCGCTCGTGTCTCCATGGCGATCTCGACGGCGGGTGGATCTAGATTCATTTTCTGGGTGCATCATCAGAGTTCCTTGTCCCTGCTGGGCCAGTTTCATCTTCATCTTCATTATTCTGGCCCTCTCCTCCAGGTCTTGGGTAACTGACAAAGAAAACAACCAAATTCATTTTGAAGGCACTGCGGCAAAAGTTTGCATAAAATACACAAGTTTTTCTTTTTACAATAAAGAATCGGTAGTGTGCATTTTATGGTAAGAATATACTTTTGAAAGCAAATTAAATTATGTAAATAAATAAATAAAAACAATTGTGTTCTAATTTAGTGGTAATCAAGTATACATTGTAAGTATGCCCCTTTTATATATTGAGCAGGTCTGTCCATCTTAAAAAAAATAATAGTGTGGCTACTCTTTATACTTCTGCAAGTGGCTACTAGAGTCCCCTGATGACATTTTATCCATCCCATGCTTGTAGGACTTACCTCTGTCCCTGCTGGCTTTCTGCGCTTCTAGAGGTATTGCTGGCAACTGCCTCTTCTTAGGTGATGGTGTGCTTGATGGGGTACCCCCCAATGAACGTGAGGATGCAGGGAAGGACCGGCTAGATGTGCCTGGTGGCATAGTTCTGAAACATTGGCGGAAGCTTTTATTACCCACATATTATGCAAACATCTTCATGGAGATGTGTAGTACATTAAAAACAAAATATTTTCATTGAAAGATTGAAAATAATCATACCTGCTGAATGTAGAAAGAAAAGGTATCATTTTTAACATCCAAGCTAAGCGTTTTTTACCTCATTTATCACAAGATATAAAAAAAAAGATATGCAAATTTAAAATATGAATTCTTTCAAGATTTTAAATGGTGGTTAGCTGTTATTCTTGGTTCAAATCAAGGTGTTTCTTTGGGATTTCAGCAGCAACATCATCATTGTAATAAATGATTTGATTATGAAGTAAAACTTTGAAAAATCTGGAAAATTTCTGTTGTTCAGATGTTTTGTTATCTGATTTCATATTTTATTTCCAAGCATCAGAGTAGTTTCAGTCAGATTAATCTTAGGATTGTCTCAAAAGCAACATAACAAAGAAGAGCAAAACTTATGAGCAAAACTACTTTTATTATTGATGTATAATTTTAAAAATAATTTATTACAATGACAAATGTATCCATTTTTATCAAGAATTCTATTTTCACAGAATACACCTGGTCACAATAGCCTGGATTAAATTTCTAGCATAATATTCTATATATTCTAGTATAATATAAGTATTTTGAAAATTTATTGAGACACCATTGGCCTCAATATAACAGTTTGGTGAGTCAGATATTTAACATGATCGGTTATCTCTATGAAACACATTTTAAAAAATTCTTGGTATTGACGCTTATGTCAACAGATGTGTTACCCTTACTTACCACTAATGACACTTTATAGGCAACTAACCCTCACCTCATGTCAGGTGGAGACAGTGATCTTGAGGCATCCAGCATGTGCATGTGACCTGGAGACCTAGATCTTGACCTAGAACTTTTAGCTGATCCCTCTCTGGATGGAGACCTGGACCTTTGACCTACACCTCCCAGGTCAGGGACTTCCAGCTTGTCTGCTGCTGATTGGTGGCGTTGTCGAGAGCTGAGGTCATCTCTAGCAACAACTGTAGGGATAAAAATGGCACAAATATCTATATGTATAGATTTATATTCCATTATTTTACTTTGTGATGTTAAAATAGATATGTTAAGATGTTTTTTTTAAATTAACAAATTGTCAGTTAAGTCCGTTGGGCTTCTAAGGAAGAGAGAAATATATCTTAACATTTATTTGATATTAAAAGTAACAAATTTTGAATTATGAAAAATTTTCAACAAATTGAATTTTTGTGTTTATTTTATTAAATTTTACGGCAATATTTAATTTTTGCAAAGAATATAGTTTGAAAATCACTTAAATTTTTTTTTTGGTTAATTTATTCTTTTCACTTTTGGAATATAATATGTTTCACGCGAATCCTTATTTTGAAAATGAAATATATGAATTAAATTACACACATTTGTTAAATTATATCCTTTTAACTGTGCTGTACGAAAAACAGTTTCAAAAGAAATTATTGGCAAATGTTTAAATCGGTAGTCTACTGTTCCTGAATAATATAAAACAATTTTTGAAGTTGAAATTTAAATAAAGCCCATTTGTTAATCTAAATTTATTTTCAGGCCCATAAGATGAAGAATTCATATTTTAATTATGATAAATCAATTTAAAGCATTTAAATGGATTTGAATCATTCCCTTTTTAACTCAGTAAATTAGTTATTGTGTCATTGTCCACAACCAAACTAGAGATTCAGTAAACCGTTGCAAATAAATAATTCCATTTTGATTTTTAAAAAAAAATAATGTCTCCTATTCCAAATTAATTTCACTGATCCTCAAATCTTTTCATTGTGCACCTTGGCCTACGCTAAAATATGAGGTCTATATAATAAGACAAAGTGAGCTCAACTGAAATACACTGTTCAAATTTATGTTTTGAGGACCACTGATACTTTTATTTTTTATAAGATAATAATAATAAGAACACTACACAGACTGACAAAGGAGAATTATGGTACATTTCATACATTTATCAAATATTTCAGGTCATTATTTACAGCATATACATGAGTTCATACAAAGGTTGTACACTGGAATACAGAGTATGCGTTTTTAAGGTTTTATCAAATTTACAAAACAATCTATCATGCAAACTTTGTGCCTTAAGCCTTAAACTTCTTTGACATCAAGGAAATTTGAGAAGTCTTCTATTATGTAGTTTTAAATGTGAACAAACACATCAGTTTGCAAACTAAGTTTTTGATGCTAATACAAATATACCTTCAGGTAGATAATGTTAATTAATGGACAACTCTTGATAAAATTCAGATTTTGAATTTAAAAAGAAAAAGAAAATATTCATTGCTAAATTTGTTGTGCATTCTATTCTATCTAACCAATGTCTGCCACAAAATTTAAAAAAAAAAAACTCACCAACTTTATTATGAGCAGCAGAAGCACATGCACTTTTAGTTCCTAATTTAATTTAGTTATTTTGCTAACATTGGAAGAAACTTAATTCCATGAAATAAAAAAAATATGTAGTAGGTATATATATATATATTATTTGACCTTTGGACCATATAAATTTGGACAAAAAATGAACATGCAAGGTTATTATGGTGACATTATTATCAGCAAAAGCCTACTGTTATTTTAAAACTACAGTGAAGCTTTTTTTGTTAACAGAAAGAATATTTCTAGACAAATATCCTAAACATGTGAAAAGTGAAATATCTTTTAAAGTTAAAAGTGCATTATACAGTATATTTTGTAAAGAAAATTATTTACTAAATGTTTCAAATGAAAATACAAATCCTCCATATCATCACAAAGAGTGTTTCCTTGCTTAAATTGCTGGTGCCAAATATTGATTAGACACTTCATGTTTGGTTTTTTTCATTGTAATGCAAGAAGTTATGAAACCAGCAGAATTTCACTAACGATCACTTTATTTAGAATAAAGGGATATATTATAAAATAAGACAAAACTTGGTAACTATGAATAATGTTCCATGTGGCCAACAGCAATGACTAACAGAAGCCACAACTATAATCCAACATTAATTTGTATGGGCTATTTTTTACATAAAAGCTAAGAGCATGAAACATATACATGTGCTATTAATTATATCAATAACATTTTTAGTGATCTAGTTTCAAATAGACTAGAGATCAAATTGAATCTGCTGTGGCCTACTCATTTTGATTTGGTTTAAATTTGTTTCTAACACTTTAAAAGCTGAGAAAATGTTTTCAGGTATTGGCGAAAGCATACAGTTTTTAACTCACAGTTAAGACTAATTTAGAATTTTGAATTTGAATATTTGATATATTTTATGGTAATATAAATAGCTTAGAAGTATGTATGATATGAAAAGTTGAGCCTTACAGGGAAAATACATTTAAAAATAGGCTAAATACAGGCCAGCATCATGGAAGGTTTAGGTTTAAACCTGATATGTAAAAAAAAAAAATACATAACCAGAGGGAGGATGGGGAAAAAAGTGTAGTAAATGTGGGGGAGAAGGGGAGATATAAAATAATATGTGCTTTTGTTTCTTAATTTAAAAAAATTCATTTAAAAATCAACAAAAGGAAAAAAATGGATGACATCATAATGATCTGGATAGATATCATCTCTAGAACAAAGTACATGTACAAAGATGCACAGTGACATAACTACATAGGAGAAGGTAATCCAATGACATTGCACAAAAGGTCACAGCCAAAGTGAGGCCAAGAGTTCTACTAAACAAGGTCAAGGCAGGTCAAATGACACACTGGACAGCAGCTGACTCAGAAAATGGTGTACAACAGGCTCATGGCTAATTATTTTTTTCTCAGGCCGGGCTTGAGGTGCAATATATACCTGTGCTGCTTCGACTTCGGTGAGTTGTCGTTGTGGTAGAGGAGTCTGCATCCTGTCTGGCACTGCTGGTGTCGGATAAATCTTCTGAGCCCATTGTAGTTGGACTGCATGAGCTGCCCAAAGAACTAACACTGGCAGTACCATCCCCCCTTCCAGCGCCACCTATTGGATAGGCATTTATGCTACATTCTAGCACGGAATAATGTTTCATAGTCAAGAGGGAAATACTGTTACTGATTTTAGATACCCCCGGGGTAAGAAGGTTTCAATGAAATATTGTTTTGGGTTACGTAGACAATGACACATTAACAGGAAACCTGATTCATGGGCATGATTAATAAAATTGCCAAATACATTGAACAATGGAACAGTGATTTGTAACATATTCTTGACATCTATTTAAATAAAAAAATGAAAAACAAATAATGTTAAAAAATAATAAATTGTCTGTCTAAATTTAAGATTTTGAGGTACATGCAGAAAAAAAAATTTGCAATTTAGTAAGCATAATTTTTCTTTGTTAACATTTTTTATATCTATTTCAGATGTTTTTTTTAAATGGTTTCATTATTTTATGTTATCTTATGCAAAATTGACATTCTTAAAAGCTGTTTTTATGAACATTTAATTAAATTTAGCTTTCCGAAAACATTAACAATTAACAACAACACAAAAATTGACAACCAGCCAGTTATAACATATTAACAGAATTAAAAATACTCTGAAAGCATATTTTTTGTCGCTGAAAAATGTTTAAACAAGGATCACATAGTATCCCGCACAGCATAGTATCCGCATAACAGAGTACCCCGCACATGTAAGAGAACATAAAACTATTGAAAAATAAAAAAAAAAGTATATTTTTTTTGATGTACAGTAATTCCATGTAATCCACTGAACTTTTAGTTGTGAATTTGGTATAAAACATAAAGAGTTATTAGTTGAGGACTTGCTCTGGTTTGGACTTTACACCCATTAGAAAAGAAATATATATACAGTTAATCCCAAAAAGTTAATAATACAGTGATTTGATAGTTCCTACATAATAATATAAACAATTTGATATGAATGAAAGGCATATTGATTGACAAAGGTTTTTTTGTGCTTCAATATATAAATGAATATTATTTAAACCTTCAAAGGTGTATTTTGAGATGCAATCATTGTGAACATGTCTATAATAGGATTAAGAGTGACCATTGAGAAATCAAATGATCTCAACAATCTGGTATGGTAAATGAAATTGAGAACCAAGATTAAAACTTCAGAAATGTGTATGGGTCAATTCCTAAATGAGGAAATAGCAGAAAAAAAAACACTGCTAATAACAAACTGCCAGTTGGTACTCCCTAATTTAAGACCCTCATCTGCATCAGGCTCACCTCAAATTTAATTTTTATAACTGAATTATTGCGCTTTTTAACAAGAAATATATTTTTTTTTCCTCCAAAGGATGAAACACCTTTTTTTCCTTCTTATTATAATCTAAATATAAAGGTTTCAGGACACTGAGGAAAATCTATCTCCTAATATTTTCACAAGTGATATCAAAAGAATGACATAAAATAACAACCAACACACATCAACATGGATGACCAAAAAAAAATAATAGAGCCATACCTGGCACAACTCCAATGCTGTCATCAAAGTCCAGCTCTGACATATCACTGTCACTCAGGCCTCTGGTGCTGATTGGGGGTGACAGATGATCTTTTCTTACATCATATGGATCCTGACTGGTTTTCTGAAAGTGAGATAATTTTTAACAAATGTTTTCTGAAAATGTACATTTTTTCTCTCTCTTTTCCTCTCAAAATCAACTTTGTAAAAATGTGAGTGCTATATCATGACATGAAATTTTTTTTATTTACAGAGTTCAAACAGAATTCAGTACCGTAACTTTTGGAATGAGCAGAAGAACTGAAAACTGGTGGAATTGTAAGTGAAGAGTACAATTTGGCAAGGAAAACAAAATAACATAGAAATTTGGACTTACTGTGCGTGGTGAGGAAGCAGGAAGTGGAATGCTTGCGTTGTCATGGTGATCAAGTTGATACCAATATGGTTCATCATTAAGGTTGGCAGTTGTTAAGTCAATTAATACCTGAAACACAGATATGAGAAAGTATATAAAATATATCATAAGAAAGTTGGGTACAAAAAAAGCAAAGTAAATGAGACACTGCCATAGTCAGCAATTTTTGTATTGGAGAGTATGTGATGGTTTTAAAATTTTTTTTTTTTAAACATCTTAAACTTTGGCAAGAGAGTAGTTCTGTAACTGAGCCTTATCAAAATATCCCATGTTTATTAGTAATGTTTTTCTTCTTATTTTTTATACATGACACAATAGTACCAAAATAATTAAATATACACATGTATAAATATGAGGATTTCCAATAGTAACTGGGAAATATTTCCAGACATGGTAGCTGTCTTTCTGTAAGACTATTGGACTGGGGTAGATCTTTAAAGTAGATTAATTAGACAAAAACAACATAAATTGCTACATAAATTGTTTGTGTCTAATTAATCTATCAGTCTTTCCAAGTTCACTTAAATTTCTCAAATATTTCTGTTTTTTTTAAAAACTTACTGTGTAATTTATAAAAACATTATTAATTGCTTTAATATGAATACAAATTCCAGAATTATAATTCTTGTAAGTAACGCTACTAGATTTTTACATTAAAAAAAACAGCAACTCATCAGCAATAGGAAGACTTGGGCCATGAAGATTATCACATTTTAAAACAAGAACAATACCAGTGGGTTCAATTTTTTTTTTAAAGTTTCAAGTCAAGTATAAGAATTAAAAATGAAGTTCTAGAAGGATAAAGTGTCATTCTTTTGAACTAAATTCTTGATGCCCAAAAGTTAACCCTTTGAATCTGTGATCCCGCTTTATCGGTCTGTGCATTAAAAAATCCAGACTTTGCCAGACCGATATTTCGGTCTCCCATACCTAACCCTAGATTGACAGTCTGTATATAAAATGTGTTGTAAAGACTGAGTTCAGGGTTTATCACGTGATTTGCATGTTTTTGTATTGATTTTGTAATGTTTTTCCATGTATAGAAGTGACAAAAATAGAAAAATTGCTATTCTAAAGAACTCAAAATAGAGTAGGTTTATGATAAAGTAAATGATTCAAAGGATTGTCATACTTTGAAAAAGGATTGAAACAAAGCAAATAAACAGTGATAATGACAATCAATTTACTTCAACTTCTAGTGAAACAACAACCTTTAGTCCTGGCCCTGGCTTTTATGAAAAATCAGGGTTTACAAATGACCTTTTACTATGCTATTTTACATCATTTCTAAGACAATTTTATCCCTGTGATACATTTTATAATACTAACAGACAAATTTATGCTAAAAATAAATGTGTTAGTTTTATAATCATTCAATTTTGTTTGCTTGTGTGTCAGTTTGTTGAAATTTTCCCCAGGAGCATTGGTATTTTAGGAGCAGGAGCCAAGGGTTCAAAGGGTTAATACATTCCAACTCACCTCTCCCAAGAATTCTGAAGCTCCGACTCTGTCATAATCCCATACGGTTATCTCTAACAACCGTTCATGCATATCTGACTCTTTCACTGGGCAATAGATAAATGTTTGATTCCAGGTTGGGTCTATTGTGCTGGCTACTGTTTTTGTGCGACGTTTGCTTTTCTCGCTGTAAGGTGGAAAAAAGCATCAAAACAAGATATTGAGCTGAACTCACTTTGAGGACAATGATGGACTTGCAGACATATGTCAGGAAATGGGACATTATAAAAAAAGTAATATTTGAGTTATTGTTTGTGGGTCAATACATTTAGATTAAGAACTTCAGAGATGTTATAACAAATAGTTTATCAGTTGAAATTCACTATGACGACCTTAATCATAGTTTTTTTTCTAATTGTGTTATAACAACTGTACTTTGACAGTAGGCAGGTGATTGCAATATCCAGTGCTAGTGTTTATACCAGGATCTATTGCCAGAAAAGAAATCTATTCCAATAATGTATTTGAATTCAGTTTTTTTTTATTTAACTGTTTTTCCTTGATGGAGTGCACCTTATACGTCTTGGCACCTAAGCATGCACCTAATGTTCCTAACGGATAATCCAGCCAAATTTGGGTCAATGTATTTGTTTTATTTTATTTTTAAAATTTTATAAATTCCAAATAAAAGTACACAATTTATCATTCAACATTAAATTCAAATTTCAAAATAATGATACGACAATAACATTATTCACCTTCTATCAGGCAGCATATACATTTTACAGTAAGGGTTGCGGAACTTGCCCGCATCTGTAAGAGGGAGGTCAATGGCGCTGATGACGCTTATAATGAGCTGATAGCTCTGGACATCATACCAAAGTTTCACCTATTACAATAATTAAAATAGATATTACAAAAAGTATCTTTTATAGTCATGGCAGAGATTTTAGATTAAAAATGCATTTGAAAAGGAGATTTTTTTTTTTACAACAGTAAATAGTTAAAAGCAATTAAAACTTGCAGTGTTTAACACTTTGCAGTACTGTAATACTAAGATTCAAGAAGAACCCTATTAAATCTTTTAATTCTTTGGGTTCAGAAATAACATTTGAAATCCCAACCCATGCGAGCAAAAAGGGGAGCAACTCCACCTTCACAGTAGATAGAAAATAATTTAAAGCAAATTTATTTTGTAATATATTTTTATGAAATTAATTGATTTGCATTTATAACTTGTTGCTTTAAATGTTGTATTACATTATTTCCCACTGTTTGTGTTGTGTAAGTTCTTAAATTTTAAACTGTGACAAATTACTCAACTGCTCATGACCATAGCAATAAATACATAAATCTGCTATTAAAATAATAAATGGTCCTTGCCTGATTATTAAAAAAAACAACAAGAAATCTCAATTTTTCTCTACTCTTGCCAGATTTGATTAAAATTGTGAGATTTACGCTTATTATAAAGCAATGTAAAAACAGCAATTTGAGTGGCCAGATCTGGTCATCATGGGTTGCATCAATACTGGGCTGGATTTGGCTGTTTTGTGGTTAAATTCTTGCATATTTTTTTAAAAACAATTATACCATAAGAAATATTTCTGACTAGCTTTTATTAATTGATCTAACCTGTAGTTTTCCTGTAATTGGTGGGGATAATGGTCTTGACCTTAATCTTGACCTGGGTTGGGGCTCAGGAACAACAGAACGCCGAGATCTTTGATTTTCTGGTATCGCTTCCTTCAATCCGTAATCTATAAGCAAAACAAAAGTTTAAATTAACCCTCAAGATGAACAGTTCTGACTTTATTTTTTTAAACTGCTGCTTTTTAGTAAATAAATTGACATGCCATTGGTTCATAACCAATTAATTTTTTTATTAATTAGCCAAGTTGCTCTAAATGTCAAATCTTTTAAAAAATAATTATTTCAGAAATTGCCAACTAAATAAAAATATTTATTCTCTTACGGTCATAACGGCATCAGGCTTACCTCTTGCATGGTCAGTGAAAGAAGTCTGAACACCAGGGGGAGTTTCTCCATGCCTGTAAAAAATATTTATTAACCCTTTCATTACCGCTGGTTTTGGGCATCAATTTTAGCTGACGCAGCAATAAAAAACTTTAAAGAAATTTTCTGTATTTTTCATTCTCTATCTGTTTTGCTTTTTAACTTCTTTATAGATTAACGAATAAAGAAATATATAGCATTGAAATATGACGTTGACGTCCTTGGTAATTAAAAATGGGTAATCGTGACGTCACGTCGACATCATCGATAGCGAAAAGGATAAGAGATCAGTTAAAATTTTTAAATAATATTTTTTTCAAATGAAATGAAAATAACCTTTTAAATCAATAAAATGTAAAATATGTCTGCTAAATAATAAGCCATGATGCCTCATTTTTAAAATGGACAAAACGTAAAATATACCTGCTACATAACAAGCTTAGGGTGACTTTTTTTTTTTTAAAGTAATAAAATTTAAAATATATCTGCTGCATAACAAGCATAGAGTGCCTAATTTTTTAAAAATCAATCAATTGTAAAATATATCTGCTACACAAGAAGCCTAGGGTGCCTGATTTTTTTCAAATCAATAAAATGTAACATATATCTGCGACATAACAAGCCTTATGTGCCTTTTTAATAAGTATACAAACTCTGTTGTACAGACTCTAAGTAAATAATTATCCTTTTCACCAGCACTCAACCTACCCAGATGAACTTATTAGTCTCAAATATAGTAGCCATAAACTTAGCAAAAAGGTGACATAGTAAAAAAAAATATGAAAAAAAGAAAATGGATTGCAATATTTTGTCATGTCGATGAGTAAAAAGTATACATTACTTGCTCACAATTGTCAACAAATAAAAATTTTCAAAGCACACATCATCCCCTTTCTCTCCAGGATTGCCCTTTTTCACCTCTACACACCTCCACCAGCCAACTTACTTAACACTCCTGTGCACTATGAGCTCCACCTGAGGCTCCTGCTTTGATTCCAAGATAATATCATAGACCTCCTCGAATGTGGCTCCTTGCAGAGAGCGGCCATTCCACTCAACCACTTCATCTCCTGTAGACACAGTTTTAAAATAGAATATTCAGCAAAGTATGAAATAATGAGAAGTTTTCTAACAGTATCATGCTGATTGAAAATATAATACTAACTGGGAAACTCGCACTGACTTAAAATACAATCTGACTCTGAATGTCATGCTCAGTCACCCAGACAATGAAAATAATCATACTTTTTAATTATGCCTCCAAAATATCAAGCTAACTCATAAGTTAACTAACAATCAAACACAATACATTTATTATCTATGCTATTTTCAACACATTATTATATTAATTTAAAATAAAAACTGAATAATTTCAGAATAAAATTTTAATTAATAAGGTTTGTAAATTAAAGAGAGGGTCTTAAGTATAGAAATGAGGGATCTAAAATATACAAACTGCAACAAAAGATTATAATATTTAAATCGATTCCCCAACAGGATCATGTGACAACACTGAGACCCAATGACATCTTCACACAGATTCAAACCGACCTGGCCTTAAATGGCCCACTGTGTCTGCTATGCTTCCCTTCTTGACTTTTGTGATAAAGGCACCAAGTTTTCCTGTTTCTGACACTTTCCCTCCTATAACCTTTAACCCTGGGGAAAAAATAAATACATATGGCTCAGTTTTATTTCTCTTAAAATATGTAATAAATATAAATGGAGAAGAGGTTATGTGAAACTCCACACTTAAATTTTAAATAGTGCATAAATATCAAAGCAAAAATATAATCTTCTGAATGTCAGATAGGAAAATTAATTTCCCCTTTTCTTTAAAAAAAACTTTTTTTTTTTTTTTTTTTTTGAATTTGAAGTTTTTCTCAAGGTATAATTTATAAATATATTTTTTTAAAGTAATATTTTTTATTTTATGGGCTCAATAAAGGTTCAAAATTTAATATAATTCCATTCCAAATTAACTACTATTAACTAGCATTACTTCACTGATGTTTTAAATTAAATTATAAAAGTAGTTAGTGAGAAAATATATGAATACTAGGCTCAAATAAAAACAAGCAATTTGATGGTAAAATAAATATTGGTTTTGAATATGGATAGATTTAATTTCCTTTATTTTCCAACTTAACTGGCAATGCAAGCAGTACATTAAAAAAATTAATAAAAGTGTTTTCAAAAAGTGACATCATTTGAAAAAAAGAAATTGTGTGCAAAAATAAAGTGCAAAGTCTTGAGTGAATAGTGAATGATGGCAAGATCATTCAAGATGTAATTTGCAAATTTGCTATTTGTAAAAATATTTTCTTAAAGAACTTCTATCTAACCACTCTGGCATTTACACTCAAAGGTCAAAGGAGTTCACACAAAAAAACCAAGCCTTAAATTTTCCCATGCCCATGCACTGGAGTACAATCTTAAATTAAATGCTCACTGCACATTTTAAAATCGATCGTCGATAGGTATACTCTATAGATAGTCTATTGCCATTGCAATGTTATAAGTTATATATCTCCACCATTTTCCCAAGAAATCAATAATAATGGATAATTGAAAGGAGAAAAGTTCAACTATTGACTTTCTCATCTTTCTGCCCTCTCCCCAAAAAAAACAAACAAAAGATTTAATTATCTTCTTCTTGATATTGAGCTTTAAGCTTTGGAAAAAAATAAGTGACACAGTTATTCAACGGAAAATAGATCCCAAATGACAATCAAATTTGAAAATAATATTTCTTTAAATTTAAAAATTTAAAAAAAAAACACACAATCTGGGTGGTGGCCTCTTCAAAACGCAATTGGCAATAGTTTGGGTCGCATGACATTATGTTTTCTCTTTTTTTTCTAACGAGGACACCAAACTTGTCTCAGTTAGCAACAGTTTATCATGAATAACCTTGAAATGAGCCAAATCCTCAAGAATGAGAAAATATCAGCACAAAAAACAAAACATTATTCATTTAATCATCTTTGAGCAAGTAAACGTATTCACAAACATTCAGCTTTTCATGTGGCAAACATTTATAAGGCGGGACTGGAGGAAACTTTGTGTGTGCTCCCAACATGCATCAGTGCTCCGGATACATTTCAGGAAAAAAAAAGTGCAACGACAACCGTTAACATGGTAAGGTGGTAAGATTTATTGTTGTACATATTTTTGTTCGGGGGGGGGGGGGGGCCTTTGGGTTTCCGGGCTGGCCCCCCCCCCCCCTGATGATTTGAGTTTCAGACCCCTGGATGAAAAATCGCTCTAATCTGCCCACTTAGCTTAACACATACAAAATGCGTCCCCCCTCTCTCATTGGCTTCAGATATGAGAAAAAGTTATTTCAACTAATTCCTATAAAGCTGGTCCACACTATCTAAATACAATAATTTAAATTTTTGAAAGGTATATACCCCTCAGGGATAATTTCTTTTGATCACTCTTCTAAGCCATGTTTTTTTCAATAACCATTGAATGTTATTCATTGGTGAAACTGGTTCATAATCATTTGAAAGATTTAGTGAAATATCTTTGAGGCATTCAACAAAAGACGAAATTCCATGTATCATCCCAAAAAGGTTAACACAAAGGAACCTCTGATGAATCTATTATGGCTATTTTATCTCATCTCTGCTGAGGAACACACCAAGACAAGGGGTCTGTTGGGAGAATAGATTAATATAATCTAAGGTGGTATCAACAGTGTTTTACTCCTAAATGTTGCAGAGATTAATGGGCTGAGTCTTAAATTCCATGGAGAGCATCAAAATGAAGTTCCAATTTGTTTGTGCAAAATAGGGACTTATAAACCCAACTACAGCACTGGATATCAACCCAAAAAGAAAATCAGTCCATTACTGGATACTTATTAAGTGGCCTTATTTAAAACGTCTGACAAATTAACAAAATTGCAATTAGTTTTTCATATATATAAAGGGGTTGGGGATGTCTGAAAATGTGAAGGATGCATGGGGACAGAGGGTATAAATATTGAAATATGTGTGTAGGTTACATTAGTTAAATTGATACATAATACATTTCGGCTTGCTTATTACTAGATAGACTTGCCTGTAAAATTCTATTGTGGTAAGGCTCACTGAAAAACAACTGTTGCTGGTAGAGTGGGTCCAGAGTGCGTCTGGCTGTAGTGGTTTTCTGCTTCTCAACACAATGTTTACCTTCAATGAGGTACACCTTGACATAAGGAGCTGTTAGAAAACATGATACAATCAAAGTTAATCTATTTTACAGAAAAAAATAATGCATTAATAACAGAAGGAATATCTTTGAAATAAAATAAACCTCATTAATATCTATTTAAAACACAATTAACCAATTATTTTTTTAGTATATAAAAAAAAAAACAAATCAGAAGGATTTATTAATTATATTTATGGCTTTTAAAACAGTTTATAAAAAGTAACTCAACATATCTGAACAAATGTAATTTGAACAACTTTTATATGTATACATCACATTATAATGATGCTGGCTTTACTTGAAAACTTATTTTTTAAAAAAATAAAGCACGCAAGAAAACTTTGTCACAGTTCTTGTACCTGGCAAAACCCTTGCACCGGGTTTTGACATGAGGCCGCGGGCCCTGATGACCTCAACTTCAAGATGTCCTTTTCTGTCATAAAGTCCAAGTTGAATTTCCCCCAGGCATGGAGCACCGAGAACTTGCCGGCCAACAAGCTGTGAGGGGCCCAAACCATCAACAAACTCACCAAACTGACCCTCAGGGCCCAATCGCATGCCTGTTGGAAGCCATAGTCTGTTGGAAGAAAAAAATTTGAAAAAGATGATGAGAGCAGGAGTTTATAAAATCATTAACTATACCAAGGTAGTGACAGTTGCTCGGGGACTCATCCACTGCGGCCAAAGCTGCTCCAAGTACCAAGAAGTACTTTGAGAAAATAGAATCCCAAACATTAAATTATTTAATTTGTTTTAGTAGGCCAAATAGAAAAGTTTTTCAGCTCAAAAAACAAATAAATTTAAAAATAAATAAATAAAAAATATAAATAGAAAAAAAGCTTTAAGGATGTGTACAAAATAAGTATTTTGGTAGAGTTCTTCCTATTTTATATCAAATTGAGTAATATTTCACATATTTTAAAATAATTACAGAATGTTGGTTGTCTAAAACATGTTTGACATTGAGTGAATAAGAGTTGTAATCGAAATTCACACTGCAATAAAATTAATATTTTACTAGAAGCTGTACTAATATTTGTTTATGCATTGAACATGTTTCTTTGTGGCTTTATAAGGATTTTTTTTTAGTCTAAAGGAAGGGAGTTGGTCTACCAGCAATGAGCTGAAGATATTTGAATTATAAAATAACTCCTGGAGTTTTAAAGCAAATATATCTTTTGTTCAATGAAATTGCATGGTTAAATGAATGCATTTGTTCAACGCAAGCAATATTGAAAATAATTGACACAAAAATCATATTTTATTTTCAAGCATTGAGCCTGGCAAAGACAAGAATGAAATTTATGAAAATTGTCTTTTTTTGTATTTGTATTATCAAGATAATGGACAATGTTTTTTTTTATTCCTTTGAAGGGATTGTGATGGTGGGCCAGACAGACATATTAAAGAGAAGAAAAGCAATAATGAATGTTACATAGGTTTTAATAGGCATGTACATATCGACAGATTGGCAGATCAAGGAGCAGAAAACCAGATTGATTTATGAACATTGAGATCAAAGATTAAATGAATTTGTTAAAATTGCAATATTAGGCCAGGGTTGTGCAATGAGAGATGCTTTCAAGTATATTGCCCACAAGCCTTCCTGCAACAGTTAAATACAAGGTGTACCATAACTCAAAGAAACAAGTCTCAGCAGTGGATCCATATTTTTTTAAAATTCATAATTAAATAAATTGAACAAAGATTTTGAGAATAATACTTGATCTTTATAAGTTTTCCATTAAATTTTCATTCACATTGAACTTTTATCCTTGACCTTTGATGACCTTAATTAAAAATAATTTTAAAAGCTTAATTCACCATAAAATTATTGAAAAAATAATAAAGGCAATTTGAAATTATGACACTACAAGCTAAATTGTCTTTTTAAACCTCTGAGTTGGGTAGCCTACAGAGGCATTAAGGTATCTTTTGAAACCTCAGAGTTGGGTAGCTTACACGGAAGGAAATGATACAAGAAAAAAAAAAACAGCATTAAAGAGAAACTGTCACTGATCTCCTTTTAAATTTCCTGCAAAACAGCGATCCAAACATGATCTCCCTGTTTTTTAAGCAAAAATTTAGAATCTCCATCTTCTTAGAAGGTATGCTCCACAACATTATAGCAAAACCACAGTCTCCATATTTATTATACTACCTTTAATTTTTTTATTTCTTGTAGCATTTCTTGCCATGTTTGGCGGCCATGCTTTTATTTTTGTAGACGTGTAGTTGCAAAAAATCCTGTACTTTTTACTGGGATTTTAACAAGTATCTTTTTAAAGAAAAATGAAAATATTTTTTTTATTTTGTACTTTTTATGTCTTTAGTGTCATTTATCTATCGTCACTATAACCTGTTTGTAATGAGATCGAGGATGGGTAAGTGTACAAAGTTTCAGCTCAACTGGAGATGAGGAAGTGGGTCGAAATTGATTGAGATGCAAGATTTGAT